GTACAGATCTACAGTCTCTCCACCTACCCCTCACCTGTCACTGCAGCACCAGCAGACCAGCTCACCTCAGCTTAAATGTTGCAAAACTACTCTGATGATTCAAAGTTGTGATGCTGAGGGATTCATCCACACATGTTCCAAACTAGAAACTGATTCAGAAGAATAATGACACAGAAAGACCGACCATGCAAATTGACAGAACTGGTTCCTCACGTTTGTTACACCGCTTAATCCTCATTAGGGCTGGAGTGTATCCCAGCCGATTTAAACATGGGACACCCCGGACAGGTCACCAGTCTATCACAGGGCTACACTTGGAGACAGACAACCAAGCACACTCACATTCACGTCTACGGACAATTTAGAATCACCAACATGTTTTTGGACTGTGTGCGAGGAAGCCGGAGAACCCCGAGAGAACCCACACTGCACGGGGAGAACATGCAAACTCCACGCTCCCACCAGGACGCAAACCGGCGACTTTCCAACTGCGCCAACTTGCAGCCCACATGTGAAAACCTCAAAGTCTAATTCTGTGTTTCAGAGACTACTATCGGTGGAGTGCAGTTTCAAAGTGGAAACCCTGCAGTTTCATTGGGTTGGAGAACATGTTAGCGTTAGTCATCACCCATACACGACATTCTCTCACATTTTACTGCCACATTTCCAGAGAGAAAAGCAAAGCAAGACAAAAAAAAATATTCTGAGCACTTAACACAAAACTTAACTTGTTGGTTTAAATGAATTCACAGCAGTATGAAAAATAATTGCAGTATTAGTCTTTTGACACTAATTTAAGGAAATTCTCACCACTGAACTAAAGCCAAGACATCTGTTTAGTTGTCCTTTGTTATGCCAGTCTCTTGAGGTCAGACAGAATAACAGTTGAAGGCAGTATTAAGGCAATATCAGTGAAAGCTGTTCTGTATTTTCTTCTCTAAATCCTGAGCTTACATTACCTTCCTCTGTGACAGACGAGTAGGAGCAAGATAGCTCCAAAATCCAAACCGGTTAAATCTGCCTTCATCTAACAAGTTTGTTTGCTGCTCTTCTTTCCTGGGAACCACTTCATTAACGCTGCACTTTCAACAGCTTGATGTGGCCGAACTTTCATTTCCAAATAAATTGCGAAACAATGCTCGCACCATGCAAATTAGTGAGACAGTAATGACGGGCCTCAGGTATTCTGACACGTCTTTTGTACTTAGCCGTGTTAATGCCTCCCAATTTGTCAGGATAGGACTCACGTAATTCCTAAAGCAGCAGGTGTCAGTTGAGCTCGTTTTGAAACTGTGTTGAAAGCTCAAGCTCCATGAAAAGGAATATAATATGAGGTGGGTTGGATTGAGAGGCAATCTCTGAAGGGCAAACAATGTATTGATTCATTTTTAGATGGTGTGCCACAACCACAGGCTTTGATGCATGCTGTGAAGCACAAAATGCTCTGTTTTCCTCCCCTTCCTTCCTTACTTCTTCCTCGCTGCTGCTGCGTCTCCAAAATGAGACATTACAGCTCAAGCTTTACTTTGAAGGGGAATGTTTTCCATTACTTTTTTTTTGTTTTTCCCCGTTTGGTTGGATTTGTGTGTGTGTGCATGTGAGTGTTCTCTCATCTTGGTCATGGTCGGTTTTCAAGTGTGATCGAGTCGAGGAGGTTGTAGATGAAGCGTGTATGCATGTGTAGTTACTACCGAGCAGGACCAGTCAATCCAAAGAACATAAAAGATTATAAAAGCGTGATACATCAGCGGATGGGATATTATTGTCTGATAAGCAAGACGATTACATTAAATTGTTGCTCCGACAGCGGACCTTGAGCCAATGATAGCATCCAATAATGCAGAGCATGCAGCAGAGCAAGCGAATGACATGAAACCGAGTTGTGGGTGTTGATTTTTTTTTTGCCTCTCTGCCCTTTCTCCTGAACTGCACTCAGCTTGGGGTCATATGCGAGGGGGACGACCTCCTCACACACGGACACAGAGGGGACCGAGTGTGGCTTCAAAGCAGAGGCACTGAATAGACTTTCGGTTACATCTCCCTCGTGTTGACAAAAACAATGCTCGTTATCCCTAAATGCAGCCCAATCCACCAGCAAGGCAGAATACAATCAGTTACAATCAGAATATATAATCTCGCGAAGAAAAAAAACAAATGCAAAGAAATGCTCATCGCTGATAGGTACTATTTTATAGACGCCACTGGGAAGCGGTGAGACTAGAGCTTCAAATAACTTTAATGACAATGCAGACAAGCCAATAATTTTCGGAGGCAGACTGATCAAATTATATTGTGAAATGAAAACTACTGGCAGATCACAGACAGACGTGTCAACAGTTTTATGAATAATTTAGATTTTCCTGTCTGGTATTGCGAGTGAAATGCCAGCAGCAAAAGCAAGAAAAAAAAAAGCAGCGCAAGTGAAAAATAAATCATCAAAATAACAAACACTACAGGTTTAAAAAATAGTCCTAAGAATAGATGGGGAAACTGAGCAACTGATAGAGTGACATTAATCTTTGTGGCATGAAAATCACTATAAGTAAAAGTAAGCAATATCAGACTTATCCAGCTCTAGTTTACAAAGCTGTGCATACACTGCTATGCTATACTGTTTTCTTTTTTCACCAGTAAAACACTCCTTGTGTATATCAGGGGAGGAAGGCATATGGTGCAAAGTCAGGTGTTGTCTTATTGTTTACACACATCCCAAACCCGGACAAAAAAAAAAGGTAGAAATCAATTCATCACATTTGTTCTGAGAGCAGGGATCCAAGGTCAGTGAAATACAAATGAAATTATCCTTCAATGATTTGAAAAGACAATGAAATACGTGCTTCAGATTGACGGCAGATATTGTGCAATTTAGGTAATTTAGCCACAATTAAGACTATTCTGAATGGAATATGTCAGCACTTTGCTACTTCTGCACCTGCATAAAACTGGGAGAGTCACAAGCAATCACTGCAGCAGAGGGCAAGATCTATAACTTTCATAATGCAACCTGAGAGCGTATACTTGTTAGACCCAGACATCCTGGTAAAAGCATGTGGCTTTCAAACTGCATGCCCTTTTATCCTTATCTGTCATGTAAAACTGCTTTAAGGTAAGATGAAGGTGCTTCCTGCCTCTGTTCCTGCAGTCATCTCAAGGTGGCAGGAGAGTCAGTGTGTCGTAACTGCAGCCTCAATGCAGAAATCTACATCAAACTTTTTTTTTTTTTTTGTAGAAAGTGCATTTCTATTTGCAACAGTGACAGATCCCTAAAGGCAGTAAACAACTGAGGAGTCATAACTGTTCTTTAAAGTTTATGCAACTTTATAAATAACATCAATAGACTACTGTTCCACCCACAGCTTTAGCAAGAAGGGTATTGAACTAAAGACCCCACTCCAGCGAAAATCTAGTTTCTTTGGTAACACACATTATGAGCAGCTGAAGGTGAGCTGGTGTGCTCGTGGTGCAGCAAGTGGGAGGGATGGCTGGACAAAGAGGTGGGAGCTTTATAGATCTGCATTCTAGAGAAAGTACTGGTTGGTTCTAAGCCAATTTAAGGCAGAAAGGGAGTTTTTAGCGGTTCAGCGGGTGATGTTAACAGATTACAAACTTACGATAAAATGCAAGATAATATGTTTTATTTTAAATAACTACATCAATAACAAACATGCTAAGCCTCTGAGTTTACTCTAACTGCACACTTGGTTGCAGGAGTGATCCCAATTTCTGCTATAACACTGAGAAAGACAGTCATCAGGCTTTCATGTCTACAGAATGTGAATTGATCTTTGAATCTAGAGCTACCGCCTTACATCCACGTCTGTCCACATTTCACCTCTGACCTTTCAAAGATAAAATGTCCTCCCTCAAGCATTTTATGCTGTTAGACAACTGTATGGAATTTTGTCATAATTAATGTATGAATTTTAGAGAGCATGTTTTGTTGAAGTCACGTTGACCTTTTACCACCTAAATCTGATCATTTCACGTTCGAGTCCAAGTGAACGTTTGGCTAAACTTCAAGACATTNGAGCGACAGCCTACAGTGCGAGCATTTTGCTGCATATGGCGAGTTACAATCACAGTGGAGAGTTCAAAAATCATTTGTCAAATTTGTCATACTTCATAAAATAATGCATAAATAACAGTGAACTAACTGACAAACTTCTGTGTGTCTCATTATTCCAGTTATCTGATTTGATGTCAATATGCAGATAAGCAACAACAACTCAAAACGTGTGTCTTACCGCACAATAGGGAGCTTTGTAAAGGGCACCGGAGGCAGCTTCAGGCCATCGGGGAGGGTGATGACCTCCATTCCACCCGGACACTTGGAGGTGTAGTTCTCCAGACTCTGGGTCACTTCTTTCTTTTCTATAAATGCAAGAGCACCAAACAGTCAGAAAATCAATAGCCTCAAGTACGTAAAACAATCTATACATATAATTACCGCTGGACAAGACGGCAACAATTATGATATAACACAACTGCCGTTACAGCTCCCTACACCCTGATGATCTGAGCACCATCGCCGGCGTGGAGGATTCATCTTTGTGTGGGATATAAATTAGCCGGACATTAATGACCTGTGGTGTGTCTCTCTCTCAGCAATAAGAGCCCCGGCCTTCAAGTAAAATTCTAAGTTTTATTGTATCATCAATACCTTTTGAGGGAACATTACTGCTCACCCAGCCGTAGAATTTGCTTTGGCTCTGCAGGTTTCCGGAGTGTCCATCAAGGGAGAAAGGACATTTACTTGCAAAGATTTTTATACGGATCTATAACCCTCCGTAGGAGCACATTAGGAGGTCTGATGATGGAAGGCTTTTTATGTGACTGAGGAATGGTGGCATTTTACCACTTTATTGTATATTCAATAAAAAATCTTGCTCACAGCTGTTTTGTAAAAACAAAAAAAAAATAACTACGTTTTTATTGTCAATCCAAAAGAGGATATATTCTTAAATTAGGGGCCAAGGGTTTTTGAGTCATTCCGAGTAAACTGTGTGAATAAATATGTTAATGGAAACTACAACCTTTGAAATAACAGCTGTAAGCCTGAAAACCATAAACTACAGATCAGAGCGAAGACGGGAAAAGAAGAGGTGAGTGAAGGAATGGATGAGAGGAAAAAGGAATAGAGGGCAGACAGATGAAGTGAAAGAACAGGGGGGAGAAAAAACAGAGCAAGAGATGAACCGAGTGACCGCTCAGTTGTGCTCCTGACTCACAGCGCTCATGATTGATGACATATTTGGCCATATTTTGTTTCTTGTTTGCCGAGTGTCTACAGCAGCTGTGTGTGTTTAGGGGCCACTGCAGGACAGGAGACCCCAGCAGAGGTTACGTGCTCGATGAAAATAATAAATAATTTCCATTTAAATCTTGGTTCTGTATGCATACAGTGAAGCGCTTTGGCTAAACGACTAAAAATGTGAAGACTTAACATTATATATTTATTTCTTCCATCATGATGACTAAAACCTGCTGGGACCCCAAGAAACTAAAAGTCAATTTCAATTTCAATTTGTCTTCTTTTGAAACTAGGATCAATGAAATGAAATGTCAGCAAGACACATTTAAAAAAAATCCGTATTTTATCAGCTTTGGAAAGAAATGTATTATTTCAGAAAAAATCATGACAGAAAAAGCAATCAGGACACCAGTGATTATTTTTTTTATCATATTTCTTTAGTGACAGTGGATCCTTTCAGTTTAATCTGTACCTTTAAAGCTGCATCTATTAATTAGTTTTTTCAATTGTTTCTGTTCTTGTTTTTTTTTACATTAGGACCCTGGAACAAGCTGTAAACATGTTGACATATTATCACCTTATAAAGTGGCGGACACGTTATCAGACATTTGCCATTCACACATCCCGCCGAGGCGAAGCGACATTAGCATTCATTTGGAGTCCCTAATGTATCAGGCTCTTCAGCTGCTAAATGCTCTCGTTCAGCTTTATGCTGAATTTTTTCTGTCTTCCTTTCGGTGCTGAGTAGGTCTATCTGGGATTTTACCACACTAGAAACAGGGTTGATGCAATAGAGGGCTAATGAAGAGTTACTGGACCAGATAAGACAAGGAACAGCCCCCTTATTTAGTGTGTCTCAAAATAAGGTAAATAAAATTAAAATTGTGCCCTGCAATTTAAAAGCCGTCTCCAGTCACTGATTAAACCCATAAACACTCCTCTGTGCATTAAAATTACATTTTTAAAAGGTGTTTCCATTGAAATAATACCATCCTGACCTAAATTGGCTAAGATGTAGCGCTACGCTGCTGCTTCCTCTAGAACAGGGGTGTCCAATCCTGGTCCTCGAGGGCCACAGTCCTGCATGTTTTAGATATTTCCCCTCTTCCAACACACCTGATTCAAATGATCAGCTCATCATCAAGCTCTGCAGAAGCCTGATAACGATCCTGATCATTTGATTCAGGTGTGTTGGAAGAGGGAAACATCTAAAACATGCAGGATTGCAGTCCTCGAGGACCAGGATTCGACATCCCTGCTCTAGAATGTACAGATCTACAGTCTCTCCACCTACCCCTCACCTGTCACTGCAGCACCAGCAGACCAGCTCACCTCAGCTTAAATGTTGCAAAACTACTCTGATGATTCAAAGTTGTGATGCTGAGGGATTCATCCACACATGTTCCAAACTAGAAACTGATTCAGAAGAATAATGACACAGAAAGACCGACCATGCAAATTGACAGAACTGGTTCCTTACGTTTGTTACACCGCTTAGTCCTCATTAGGGGTCACAGGGGGGGCTGGAGCCTATCCCAGCCGATTTAGGCAGGGGACACCCTGGACAGGTCACCAGTCTATCACAGGGCTACACTTGGAGACAGACAACCAAGCACACTCACATTCACGTCTACGGACAATTTAGAATCACCAACATGTTTTTGGACTGTGTGCGAGGAAGCCGGAGAACCCCGAGAGAACCCACACTGCACGGGGAGAACATGCAAACTCCACGCTCCCACCAGGACGCAAACCGGCGACTTTCCAACTGCGCCAACTTGCAGCCCACATGTGAAAACCTCAAAGTCTAATTCTGTGTTTCAGAGACTACTATCGGTGGAGTGCAGTTTCAAAGTGGAAACCCTGCAGTTTCATTGGGTTGGAGAACATGTTGGCGTTAGTCATCACCCGTACATGACATTCTCTCACATTTTACTGCCACATTTCCAGAGAGAAAAGCAAAGCAAGACAAAAAAAATATTATTCTGAGCACTTTACAAAACTTAACTTGTTGGTTTAAATGAATTCACAGCAGTATGAAAAATAATTGCAGTATTAGTCTTTTGACACTAATTTAAGGAAATTCTCACCACTGAACTAAAGCCAAGACATCTGTTTAGTTGTCCTTTGTTATGCCAGTCTCTTGAGGTCAGACAGAATAACAGTTGAAGGCAGTATTAAGGCAATATCAGTGAAAGCTGTTCTGTATTTTCTTCTCTAAATCCTGAGCTTACATTACCTTCCTCTGTGACAGACGAGTAGGAGCAAGATAGCTCCAAAATCCAAACCAGTTAAATCTGCCTTCATCTAACAAGTTTGTTTGCTGCTCTTCTTTCCTGGGAACCACTTCATTAACGCTGCACTTTCAACAGCTTGATGTGGCCGAACTTTCATTTCCAAATAAATTGCGAAACAATGCTCGCACCATGCAAATTAGTGAGACAGTAATGACGGGCCTCAGGTATTCTGACACGTCTTTTGTACTTAGCCGTGTTAATGCCTCCCAATTTGTCAGGATAGGACTCACGTAATTCCTAAAGCAGCAGGTGTCAGTTGAGCTCGTTTTGAAACTGTGTTGAAAGCTCAAGCTCCATGAAAAGGAATATAATATGAGGTGGGTTGGATTGAGAGGCAATCTCTGAAGGGCAAACAATGTATTGATTCATTTTTAGATGGTGTGCCACAACCACAGGCTTTGATGCATGCTGTGAAGCACAAAATGCTCTGTTTTCCTCCCCTTCCTTCCTTACTTCTTCCTCGCTGCTGCTGCGTCTCCAAAATGAGACATTACAGCTCAAGCTTTACTTTGAAGGGGAATGTTTTCCATTACTTTTTTTTTGTTTTTCCCCGTTTGGTTGGATTTGTGTGTGTGTGCATGTGAGTGTTCTCTCATCTTGGTCATGGTCGGTTTTCAAGTGTGATCGAGTCGAGGAGGTTGTAGATGAAGCGTGTATGCATGTGTAGTTACTACCGAGCAGGACCAGTCAATCCAAAGAACATAAAAGATTATAAAAGCGTGATACATCAGCGGATGGGATATTATTGTCTGATAAGCAAGACGATTACATTAAATTGTTGCTCCGACAGCGGACCTTGAGCCAATGATAGCATCCAATAATGCAGAGCATGCAGCAGAGCAAGCGAATGACATGAAACCGAGTTGTGGGTGTTGATTTTTTTTTTGCCTCTCTGCCCTTTCTCCTGAACTGCACTCAGCTTGGGGTCATATGCGAGGGGGACGACCTCCTCACACACGGACACAGAGGGGACCGAGTGTGGCTTCAAAGCAGAGGCACTGAATAGACTTTCGGTTA